ATACTCTTGGAAACAAACACAGTACACTGTAAACTGGGGGAAGCAAATAACACACTTCTGTGCTTCAGCTTCTCCCCATGCACATGCTCCTAAGCTTATCACAATGCCATGTATATTCTTGGGATTTGGATGGAAAACTGGCCACGAGCTGTGCTGTAATGCTTTGTGATTGACACCTCCCAACAATCTCCATTAGAAACGGAAGGAAAGAAATCAAAATCAACACATCAACAACTTAGGCAGAACATCCTTTGTCCCAGCACCATACACACTGTAACGCAGAAATGCATCCCACTGGGAATTATTGCTTTGAATCAAGGCTATTTCTGGAAACACGCCTTCCCACAGGTACTTCATTCTGGAAATCTGACACAGGCAGTGATTCACAGCAATTAGCATCCTGAAAACGCAGTGTACACAAAGAAATACAATCTGTTGGGAGGCAGCTGATTTTTGCCATGGGTTTGCTCTTTAGATTAACGATGAGAAGGAAGTCATTGAATCTGTCATTTTGTGAGCACGTGCCTTGCACACACGGAACAGAAACCACCCGTGGAAAACAGGAATAGTAAGACATGGCACTTTTGCCTCCACTTTAATCTGAAGTGGTTAGAACTCTGAGGCTTTTTTCCCTACCAGCTTATGCTTTCCTCACAGAATAATACTTTTATTTTCACCTCACCAAAAATACAAGGCAGTTTCTCCCTTGGTGGATGAGGTGGACAACCTCTGGTTTCGGAAATGTTACCATCAACCAACATACCCCAAAGTTTCTATGCTCTACCTACAGAATGTAGAGATGCTGCAGTACCTAGAGGCTGCCTTTACAAAACCCCAAGAGATTCCTGTTGGTCTCCTCCCTTTTCCAGCTGGGACTGTGTGGTGCCTGTTCTCTGTGGAGTGCTCACCTGTGACTAAGGAAGTTTGTGCAGCTGGTTGTTCCAGTAAGACCATGTGTTGCAGGAGAGGGTTATGTGCAGTTCCCCCGTCTCTCTCCAACGTTGTAGTGCTCAAGTAGGGAGTGAGGTGAGTGCCAGGGAATAGTGAGATCCGCTGCTGTAATGTTGGGATAGTAAGTCTCTCCGCATCCTGCTGGGCTGATCCTGCCTGCAAATGCATCAAGGGCAGCAGAGGGGGTTAAGCAAGAAATTGGTGCAAATGACATTCCAGAGGCAGCATCCCAACCCCACTTACACTGGAAGGGCCGGTAGCAGGCAGTCCTAGCGTGATGTTGGGCAAAGAAGGAGAGGTGTAGAGTGGAAGCTGTGTCACGGAGCCTTCACGGTTCACGAGTCTGTGAGCCAGGCTGGGCTGCAAACAAAAGTAAGGACATGGTCCCAGTGAGAGAGAATCCACACATTTCATCAAGGACATGGCACACTCACTGGGAGAACACATCAGAAACATAAACGGAACACTCTGAGCTGGATCCACAAGGATCACTGAGTCCAACTCCTGCCCTGCACAGGACACCCCAACAGTCCCACCATGTGCCCAAGACGCTTGTCCAGACACTCCTTGAGCTCTGTCAGGCTTGGGGCTGTGACCACTGCCCTGGAGAGTTGTTCCAGTGCCCAAACACCTCTGGGGGAAGAACCTTGTGCTGATATCCAACCTAACCTTCTCACAGTTCCCAAACACATCTGGAGGAAGAACCTTGTCCTGATAGTCTATTTCAACCTGTTCCAGTGCCCAAACACCCTCTGGGGGAAAGAAGCTTCTCCTGATGTCCAACCTAAGCCTGCTCCAGTGCCCAAACACCTCTAGGGGAAGAACCTTTGCCTAATATCCAGCCTAACCCTCCCTTGGCACAGCTTCATGCCATTCCCTTTGTTCTTGCCCTTCACAACTCTTTGCCCTTTAAAAGCTAAAACAGATTACCTTTAAAAAAATCTTTACGATTGCTGTTATACTCTTTAGCATGTAACAGTCAATTTATGCTATGTACTGGTGTGTGTTTGCTTAAATCACACTCCAAAATCTCATCCAAATGCCTGAAGGTGGCATTTATGTAGCTATTTCCTGATTTTCAGGGTAAAATGCAAGACTGACTGAGTTATCTTATGGCCATTTAAAGCAAGAACAATTTCAATTTCCAAATGAGATTGACTTGAAATAAGCACTAGCAAACCCATTATAAAAATAACCATAAACTGCCTGATAGTCCTGTTGGGAAACAAGTGTTCTGATCACCCTGAATTCTCTGCAGGTGGTTCTCCAGCTTAAATAGAATTTGGATTCCAAAAAGTCTCACGATACAATTTCTACTGTTAAACTCAGGTGCTATGTGGGAAAAAAAAGGATTTTGAGTAACTTAATATGCTACTATGGCACTATCCATATCTAAGTTGTGGCTTCTCCATCCCTTGGAGTGTTCTGGGCCAGGTTGGATGGGGCTTGGAGCAACCTGGACTAGTGGAAGGTGTCCCTGCCCATGGCAGGGGGTGCAAGGAGATGAGCTTTAAGGTTCTTCCAACCCAAACCATTCTGGAATTCTGTGATATCCATGTAACAGAGATCTGTAGAAGGGTTCTGTACATTTTAGATTGAAACTCACAGTCCTGTAAGTCAATGAGTCTTTGCAGGTTATGTCCTTGCTCTGAGGACGGGTTCCAGATTTGGATATTAAAACTCTCCTTCAAAGACTGTAAGGTGAACCTTAGGGTGAGTCATGGTTGGACTTAATGATCTTAGAGGTCTTTTCCCATCTTAATAAAAATCTAAAATTTAAATTTATGATTTAAAACCCCCGGTAGCAACCTCACAGAGGGGAAAAAGGCACACAGAACTAATATTATAAGGTTTTTTTATAGAGAAATCTTTAAGATCAATGCTGACTCCTGGATTTATTAAAATTCATTGAGAGCTTTAGCAGGACATCCCATGGCTACTCCCGAGGCTTGTGCTGCCTGTGCAAGAAGGAAGGACACATGATTGTGGGTTGTGTTGGAAAGGACCTTCAAGATCATCAACCCCACCCTGTGCCATGCGCAGCGACACTTTTCCCTAGCCCAGGTTGTTCCAAGCCCCGTCCAACCTGGCCCAGAACACTCCCAGGGATGAGGCAGCCACAGCTTCTCAGGACAACCTGTGCCAGTTTTTTAACAGCCTCATTAAAAACCCCTTGATTTTTACCTCTCATCTACACTGACCTCCATGGTATAGTTTACACCCCCACACACTTCTCCTTCCCAGTGATTTCGAGCACTACCAGCAACCCTGCTCTAATTTAAATTATATAATGTTACTGTGCCACATTGAAGAGAAGATAGTTCTTGTCAGCAAAGGAACGAAATATTTTACTGACATCACAAATGAAAGCAAACTACATCCATTTTCTCTTTGAACGATCAATACTCTGGAGTTGTGCCTCAAACTCTCTCCTGGGGATTTGATCTGAACCCAGCAGAGAGAAGAGTAGAGCAGTTGATGCTATTAGCACGTGGTACTCGGCAGCATTACCAGCACTTTAAGCAGACAGATCCCAGCTCTGAGCTGTTGCGATGGAGAGACGTGTCGCAGCTTGATGCAAGCAAGGCGTCCGTTTATTGTTGTTTTTTACAGATACTTATAGTTTTCTTGGCTTAGCTGTTCCCTGCCAATTGGCTTATTCTATACGTTAGGTGTTCACCAATTGGTTAACCTAAGGCACAACAACTTGTTACATGTCTTCTACCCCAGCAACATCCCAGCAACTTCCTAACTCGTGACTGGTGAGCCAGCACGCAGGTGCTTTCTGTTCGGGTTCCCATCTCCACGGCTACCCCTCCCAAGGCCTTCGGGCAACAAGTCCTAACACATCCCCTGACTAGCCCAGACATGCTGGAGCCTTGCTGAATGCAGCCAGGCCACTCCCCACACTAAGCCACACGCAAACACACTTGAACTGCACACAACAATTTCTGTATGTACAATTTTCGGCTCTACTCAAGGACTTTTTATAGTCTTGTACCAGCTCAATGAATATCATGTACCTTTTAGAGATGGAAAAACCTTTGAAACCGTATTCAAAAATAGTCTATTTTAAAGGAGGCAGAGCTATAGCCTTTGCTCACTGCAGGCAGACACTGAAACTTACATTAAGAATCATAGAATCAATCGGGTTGGAAAAGACCTCAAAGATCATCCAGTCCAACCCTAAGTACTTCTATCTCATCTTCCAATGTATCTGCACTGGCTCAGTAGGTGATGGAGCAAACTAAGAAGCAACGAGACATGTTTCTCATTTAAAATAAAACATGGGAGATAAGCATGAAACACCAAGTTGCCAAAATCATCCTTCCAGAAACATTTTAATGTGTAAATATTTAAGGTGGGAACATGGGAAGGTTTGGTCAACATGGTCAACAGGACCAGGGTAGTGATTCTTACCCTGGACTCGGTGCTGGTGAGGCCACACCTTGAATCCTGTGCTCAGTTCTGGGCCCCTCAGCTCAGGAGGGATATTGAGGTGCTGGAGCAGGTCCAGAGAAGAGCAACGAGGCTGGTGAAGGGACCTGAGCACAAGTACCATGAGGAGAGGCTGATGGAGCTGGGGTTGTTTAGCCTGGAGAAGAGGAGGCTCAGGGGAGACCTTATCACCCTCTACAACTCCCTGACAGGAGGTTGGAGTCAGGTGGGGGTTGGTCTCTTCTCCCAAGCAACCAGCTGTAGGACAAGAGGACACCGACTCAAGCTCTGCCAGGGGAGGTTTAGGCTGGATAGTAGGAAGAGATTTTTGATGGAGAGAGCAATCAGGCATTGGAATGGGCTGCCCAGGGAGGTGGTTGATTCACTGTCCCTGGAGGTTTTCAAGATGAGACTGGATGTGGCACTTATTGCCATGGTCTAGTAACCGTGGTAGGGTTGGACTTGATGATCTTGGAGGTCTTTTCCAACCTGGTTGATTCTATGATTCTATCAACTGGTAGCAAAGAGATCTCTAACTTGGCTTCCCAGGTCATGCAACTTCTACTGAAGGAGAAGATTTTAAAGCAACCAAACCCCACTGGTACTTTCCCCGAACGAACAAATCCACGTCAATGGAGCATCTGGGATCACACCACATGAAATGCTAGAACGAAGTGCAGTTATTTTTCTTTGGGAAAGGGAAAGGCTTTGGCAGGACAGGGATTTTTTCCCACATCATCTGTGCTGCTCAAGCCTTGGCCTAAGTTACAAAATTGTTGCACTCCAAGAGCTTTTTATATCACGTGAATCCATCTGATCAGGTGTTGGTGGTCTAGTCCCAGATGATTAGCTCCAATTATTTAGCTGAAAAATGCAATGGTTAATGAGAATGCTACAGGTTCACATTCACTTTCAGGAGCTTACTCTGACTTCGAGCTATGGTTTGACTTGGAAGGGACCTCAATGACCACCCAGTTTCAACTTCCTTGTCATGGGCAGGGACCTGTGGGAAGCTGCCTGCTCTGTTTTTATCACCAAAAATTGTCAAATCCACTAATTCTTCCATCAGCAATAATTGGGGACTTGCAGTTTGCTAAGTATAGACAAGTTGGCAGCTACTGGACCAGCAAAACCAGAGACTCGATGCTCGTCTTCCTGGGGCAAGTGAAGCCTCCACCTTATACCACCTTAGTCTTTACAATAATTACCTAAGTCTGGGAGGTGTCCTATGGACTAGAGTGGCTGGAGATGTTTGCTGGATAATTTGACAGGGGAGAGGGTGGAGGAGAAGGCATATTCCCCCATATTAAATCCTGTTACACTACATTAGAAACAAAAATAAAGTGCAAATCTGTACAAAACTTGAAAGCAGTAAGGGCTGACATTTACCCCATAAGAAACCCTTTTCAATTCTAAAGGAACATTTGAGGAGAACAAGCCCAAGCCTGTTTGCAGAGTTCTGATGCTGAGACAGACACTATATTCATGGGGAAAACAGCAAATGGGAAGCTGGAGAAAAAGAAACGCACCAGTAGCACTACACAACCACACTGGTTTCGTACATGCAAGGTTTATAGAGGGAGCCAGTTCCATGGCCCAGACACCAATATCTGCCCTTGGAAAAGCTGAGCTCCAGTAACCCTGAACATAGGAATTGCTGTGCTGAATCCAACCCCAGTTCACCCAGTCCAACCTCCTGCCCTGGACACCCACAGCACAGGGCTCAAGTGATGGTGAAAGCTTATGGGGATATAAACTGGCACATGGTGTCAGCTGCCAAGATTTCACATCCTCAGTTGTGGAGGAAAAGATTAAACCCATTCCCTCTAGTCCAGTTCTGGTTTGGGCATACTTAAACTAACCTACTGCACACAATAAATTCACCCTATATACAGGATCAGATTCCCCAAGTATGAAAAAACTTGCACCTGACCTTGCTAAATCACTTTATTTTTACTCTCTCCTCACTCCAAAACCACCACAAGTTACCACAAGCTCATTGAGAGCTGGTTCAAACCAGATTTAACAAACAGATAATGCATCCCGTCAACCCAAACTGCGAGGTAATTCCCAAAGTCTGCTCCAAGTCACATGCTGGGGTTTTCCCTTCATGGTTCATGCGCCTAATTCCTCACACTCTGCAGAAACTGATTAGAATCCCAAGTGTTAAAACCCGGAGGGAGGAAGGGCACCATACCTCTGCTTGGATACTCGTGACTGATCCTGCGATTCCGTTCTCGGCAGTGATGTTATTGGAGCTGTTGTTTGGAGAGCTGGGACCAGATCCAGGAGCACTGTTGCATGCAGAGTCTAAAAAACACATCCAAAAACAACTTTTACCATTGCAAACAATCTCTGTGATGGTACTTAGACAGATAACAACCCCTCAAGTTTTGTTTCGGAGGAAAGCAACTCTCCTCCTCCTCCTCTTCTCCCTAAATATTTCCAGGGATCTTAAAATACCAACTAACACTTGCAAATGGTTTATCCAAGTGCCTACTTACCATATTTATGTCTTCTCCCCATGGGGAATTCTCTTATAGCGTATTAATAATTTTAACTATGATTAAAAGATAATAGAAAACATGGAGGGCTTGAAGAGGTCAAACAAGATGATGTTGGATTTATTCTGCTTCATTTTTCCAGAAGTGCCTTTCACACCCTCTTTACCCTCTAACCCTAACAACACCTCATTGCATGAGACTTCCCTCAGGAGGTCTGCTGTCTGGTGCATGGCACAGCTGCCAGTGTTTTCCCTTGTATATGGGAAGGGGTTATTAACCTTAATAAAGCCTCTTTTTCTGAACTTTCTTCCTCCCCAAGCACAGGATTTGCTCAATGCCAGGAGGGTCTCCCAGCAGCTGCAGTGGTTGAGGCTGCAGAAAGCTCCTAATTGCTCCAGGATGCCCCAAGATAAAGAAAAGTTAATTATTCCGAGGGCCTGGAGCAACAGGACAAGGAGGGAATACCATCACACTGACAGAGGGCAGGGCTAGATGGGGTATCAGGAAGAAATTCTTGGCTGTGAGGGTGCTGAGGCACTGGCACAGGTTGACCAGAGAAGCTGTGGCTTCCCCAACCCTAGAAAAGTTCTAGGCCAGGATGGATGGGGCCTGGAGCAACCTGGGCTGGTGGAAGGTGTCCCTGCCCATGGTAGGGGGTGGAACTAAATGGTCTAGTGGAAGGCGTCCCACCAGAATCCCCTGTATTCGTCAGAGTTTAAATATAATTCCTATTCCCTGAAGTGGAACTTCTTTTAAGACTTCTTTTCCATGTAAAAGTTCCCTCTTACCATGACGACTCAGGTATTTTTCTAGCCAAGTTCCAGGCTGACTTCTTGAACTGAGTCCATGCTCAGTGAGAAGCAGGAGCCTCCACTGCTATTTCTGAAGGCATTACTGGGACAAATGATCAGGCAGTGGAGCCATGTGCCATAGAACAATGTGTGTGTGAAGGACATTTGGTTTTCAGATCTCATACAAAGCCTGCCAGAGCTCAAGAAGCATTTGGAAAACACTCTCAAGCACATGGTGAGACCCTTGGGCTTGTCCTGTGTGGGACCAGGAGTTGCACTTGATGGGTCCCTTCCAACTCAGGATATTCTATGATTCCATGATTCTTAGCCCTTGAAATCATATATTCCCTTTGCAAACAGAGAGGTTCTGACACAGAGGAGTGCTGAGCTGCCCCAGGATCTCCCACAGCCACTGTGCTCTCTCTACAGAGAGCACACAGTGAGACTGTTTGAGAGATGATCATGTGCCTTTGAGTGAGGCAAATTTGGAAAAGCTGTCACTTGGTGGCATTTACACAGAAGTATCCCTAGATGGTGCTAAGAATTAACTTTATGGTAATCTGGATCATCTACTTTGATCCCTCCTTACAAACTCTAGTACCAGAAGAACAAGATTTTTCAACAAGAAACTGTGAAGTCAAATAAGTAGTAAAAAATAGAGAGATCATATATATCTCTCTATATATAAAACCACTGGGTCGAGAACCTTTTCGTGATGTCCAGCCTAAGTCTCCCCTGACACAGCTCCAGCTGTTCCCTGGGGTCCTGTCACTGGTCACAGAGAGCAGAGACCAGTGCTGCCCCTCTGCTGTTCCCCATGAGGAAGCTGCAGAGCGTGGTGAGGTCTCCCCCAGTCTCCTCTTCTCCAGCTGAACAAACCAAGTGACCTCAGCTTGGTTTCACCAACACTGAGAAGCACATGAGAGCTCCAGCCTGCACAGTGAACTGGGCACAGGAATCCCTTTGGGAAAGGACATCTCATGTGAGCATGTGGTGCAGTTTGCTGCTTACCCGCCGTACCTGTGACGTCCAGCGGGCGCTTCTTTAGAGCAGTCACCACCGGACCGTCTTTTCTGCGCAGGAGGGGGCTGCTCCTTCTCTCAGCAACCTTCTGCTTTAGTCTGGATCGTAATTTCAGATTGGGTTCAGAGGCTGAGCAGAACAAGGGAAAAGGAAACAGTATTTTGGTTAGTATTATTTCAGCAGTTTTGTATTCAACTTCCAGCTGAGTTGAGTTGAGTTAGCTATGGTTAAGCATTTGTAGAAGGCTCCATTAAATTAGTCATTTGAGTGAATCATAGAATGTTAAGGGGTTGGAATGGAGCTTGGAGATCATTTAGTCCCAACAACCCCTGCCCTGGGCAGGGACATCTCCCACCAGAGCAGGTTGCTCAAGGCTTCATCCAACCTGGCTTTGAACACTG